TTCCCCGAGTCAGCCGCTGGTCAGTTTCAGCAGCGGCTGAATCGGGGAAGCCAGGGGCAGAGCAGCTCTAATTGTCCGGCTGCCTGGAGCACTTCCGGGTTCCAGATGGTGCCAGACCATCAGGAGTACCGGACCATTGGATGCCGGACCACTGGAGTTTTACTGTACTACTTAAGTAGGCATTAAGGCCCATTGCCAGTAACAGATTTGCCCCTATACCCAGCACATTTGCAGAGCTGCTATTAAATCAGAGTGGGTGCTGTGTGGGCAGAGGGGTTTGTGTACGTTAAGCTCAGTGCATTAAGCTGACATCGCTTTTCAAGTGTTTATGATGCTTATTATTTGTTTTTATAAAAGTGTCTCCCGAATAAAAACTTGTTACGTAAGTTCCAAGCCCTGTTCACTTTCCCTATTTTTCTGATTTACAAAATATAAAAACTAGTTTTTGTGGATCTGATAGACAGGAATTTCACCTTCCTCCCTCTGACTTTTTGTATTGCTATAATAGTGTTGTTTTGTAAAATAAAAAAATTGCAGATTAATTCTGAACAAAGCAAATTGCTTTACTTTTAGAAACTCAAATGCTCTATTTGTCTGCCATTTTTGAAATTACATAAATTTAATCCAGTACTCAGCATGAGCTATTTATACATATAGAAACTTCTAAAGGATTTTTTGTACCAGGAATTTGCTGTGATATAATTTTTTAAAAGTATATATTGTTATATTTTATGTTTTTAATCGCTGAGTTAGCTTAATTGAGTGAAGAACCCTTCACTGGCTTTGTCTACGCTTAAAATTTGTGTAGGCATAGCTATTTGGGTCAGAAGTATGGAAAAAGCCTTTGCCAACAAACCCTTAGTGTAGATGCAGCTATGTTGACAAAATAATGTTTTTTTTTTCCTGACAGAAAAATTCCGTTTCTTGCTGTAGGGCTGAGTCTACCATAAGGAAATATCCTGGCATAGTTGCATGATGCAAAGTAGACATACCTGTTGTCTACACTAAACTTTTTTTAACCTAAGGTCTTGTCTAGTTGGGAAAATTGAGCAGAACAAATATTGTAGAATAAACAATAAATAATATTCTGAAATAGCTCTCTGTGTGGACACCATTCCCGATTAAATTTTATTTTGGATTTTTTTGATTTTTAATAAAGTAATAAAGTAAATATTACTCTAACGTAAAATGTCCATATGATGGATTAAGCTCAACTGTAAAAGGGCATTCTTATTTTGGGGATATTTTGGGTTGTACCAACATAATTATTCAGTAAATTTCCAAGTGCAGGCAAGCCAAGAACCTTTACAGCTTCTGATTAGACCAGCCTTAGGCCTAATGTTTTTACTTATTTAACTTAATTGTCTTAAATTGGTAAGAATTCTAAGTTGATATTATGAAATTCTAAACCTATTGAAAAGTGTCCACAACATAAATCTGCACCAATTTAACAACATCAGTTTCTCAAATGATAGTGAAATCCTTAAAGCTTTTGTATATGGACAAACCTTAAGAGTCAAAAATTGTATTATTTTAACACAGGATAAATCTGGAGTAACCCTGTTGATTTTACTGGAAGTAATCTGGATTTACAACTGTATATAACTGAGAACAGAATTTGAACTCAATTTTCAGTTTTCAGTATACTGTAGTGAGAGATTCAAATTCTTGAGTCTTCTTCTGGTTTGCCAGCTATAGCTCAGTGTTGATGTCCAGATTTTAATTTGTGAACTGGAACTAGATCTGTTTTCTGAACCAAGTATTAAACTCTCTTTCCTCCTCCAATTTAACTAAGCTATACACAAAACAGAATGTTTTCCCAACGAATACCTGTGTTATTTCCTTTTAGTAAGGAAACTCATAATTACCAGGTTATTTAAACTGGTTCGCCTTTAAGAATAGATCAGCACAAATGGAATAATGATTGCATTTTTTTTTCTTTCTGCGCAGTGCCAAAAGAAGGAAACTTTTTCTAGCGAGTCAGTTGCAAACTGGGTTGGGGAGTAGCAACGTCTCTAGAAAAGGGTTAAAGAAACCCCTTGAATTTCAAGCTGAAGTCCTGCCTGCAACAGCCTCTTAATACTCAAGACGTGTGTCCGCTGGAGGAGGAGGGATCCATTTGTACGTGTTGCAACTTTTAGTGGTGCTTTGTTAAATGGGAAAATACGATTCGCTGATGGTGGGGGCAGAAGGGGAAACTAAAGCGTGGTGAAGTCTGGCTCCTACGCCGCCAGAAAGGGGCTACGGGGAGGACAGATTGCACTCGCCTGCCCTGGGGCTAATCTGACAGGCTCTTCTTTCGTAGCCCTCCCGGGAGCAGCCGACTGAGACGTGCTGTTCCTCATGCTCTTGCGGGGTTCGCGTTGCATTGTGCAATGCAAGCCCTTGTGTATCCCTCTTTGCTGCTGCCCCAGTGTTTCAGTACCGCAGCCAGGCGGCGGCGGCGGCTGCTGCTGCTGAGGAGCGGGGGGTGGGGACCCGTCCGCCCAACCACGTCTGCAGGCGGGGAGTTAAGAGTTAAGCTGGGGCCCGCTTTGCGTAGCTAGAGCAGCCGGGACTGGTGGTTCCAGCTCCTGTCAGGGCGAATCCAGGCCGCACATTGGTGGCGCCCGCAGCCGTCGGATCTACTTTCTCTAGCCCTGTTCTTTTCCTCCCCTTCCCCTCGCCTCCTCCTCCGGCGGCTCCAGGCTGGCTCGGGGAGGATCCAGAGAGCTGAAGTTGCGAGGCGATTCGGGGCTCGCCGACCGGCCCCTGCCATGGGGGCTTTGGCAGGACGCGTCTAGAAGCGCTCCTGCTCCTTGTCCGTGCCCAGGCGCCCGGGGAAGTGGCCTGGGAAGTGCTCGCAGCCGTCGGTGGATTTGGGAGAGTAACATGGCTGATCTAAGGGAGTGCTGAGCAGTTTGTGTCTCTGTACGACGGTGGGCTCGGATTGTAACATGTAAATAACTTCTTCCTTTGGACAATACGCCTGGGCATAGATGCCAGCCCCTCCATTTCCCAAAAAGGGTCTGTGAGAGGTTCTCGGGCTCTGGATTATGCTGTGCAAAACCAATTCGCTGGCGGTGAGTGTGTCTTGCATTTAACTTCTTTGTATTAAAGGGCAAAATGTGACAGGCGGCAGGGGGCTGCATATGGCAATCTGCATTATATTTCTATGGAGACAGATGGGGGTATCAACATAAGGAGGAGTAGTGGGACCTGAGGCACTAGGTTGGAAACTTATCAGGAGTACTGTGGTGACACTAGCACTCTAGAGAGATTTTTCACACCCTTGGTGAAAATGCATCTCCTGAGATCAAAATGTGTGTATCAGCCCAAGTTACAGGTTCACTAGATCATCTTCAGCCTCAAATAACACACACTGCTTAGGACTGACAAGTATTATATGACCAATGGTCTTTTCGTTTCTTAGTCTGTGTAGTGTACACGTTCTTTTAAAAACAGTCCTGTTTTAACATGGTCTAAATATAATAAATTTTATTAGCCTTTCCTTCCTTCACTTTTAGAGCAGGGGTGTTCTGAATCTTAAAAATACAGTAGGGAATAGGACGATCCCTTCCATATATTTCTTAAATATTCTACATGTGATCATAGCTATTCTTGTAAAACAATGCAGTCTTAAACATTTTCACATAATTTAAAATATAGCATGTCCACAAAATTTTAGGTTTTCTTTCTCATCCATTTTCTGCTCACACTAGTTTTAAATCAGAAAAATACTATTAGTTGGCTTATTAAATATCCTGAAAATAGTTTAAATATCCAGTATATGCTCTATCTTATATTTTGATCTGTGTTCTATGAGCAATGAACACACAAGTCAAAAGTCGAAGAATGGATTATGTAACTGGTTTGGTTCAGTGAATTTGATACAAAATATAAGGGAAAAGAACTGTTAAGTATGATATTTTAATATTGTGAGTATGGCCCAGTTAATTCAGCATCTGTGCTGTTCTTAAACTATGACTTTTGTCATGTATCTAATGCTAGATACTAAATATCAAATACTAAATATCAAATATTTGATAAGTGAAACATTTGTTACTAAAAAGGTATTTGATTCATTGTATGCTTGAAACACATTCATGACCATATGTGTAATTTTTATTATTTGACTGTTCAGTCTTTGTAGTATAATATGATTCTTGCATTGTTGAAAAGGTGCGTTTTGAAGAACCTTAAGCTAGTGTTAAAGTAGTCCCATTTTATTATGCCTGTGAAAGATACAAAAAACAATTCAAAACTTAAGCAAATGTACCAACATCTGAAAGCTGTCAGTGAACATAAAAATAATATATGCTCAAATAAATTTAAATGTAGCAGAAATGCTGAGTATAGCTATAGTCATAGTACATCAGCATACTGTAAATACTTAGTATACAGGCAGTCCCCGGGTTACGTACAAGATAGGGACTGTAGGTTTGTTCTTAAGTTGAATCTGTATGTAAGTCGGAACTGGCATCAGCCGCTGCTGAAACTGATCAGTTTCAACAGCAGCTGAATCTGGAC